TCAAGCAATTCTCTTGTCTCAGCCTCCTGAGTATCTAGGATTACAGGCATGTGCCACCACACCCAGCTAATTTTTTTGTATTTTTAGTAGAGATGGGGTTTCACCATGTTGGCCAGGCTGGTCTCAAACTCCCAGCCTCAGGTGATCTGCCTGCCTCAATTTCCCAAAGTGCTGGGATTACAGGCATGAGCCACTGTGCCTGGCCTTATTTTAAAGTGCTGTAACCTGTTGAAGTCTCCTTTGTCAAAGATAGAATGTGGAGTTTTGTTTTTTTCACTTTATTCATAGAGCATATTCCATAGCCCTTCTGATCCATTCAAAATGAGGTTAAGAGTGAGAGATTAAGGACTGCAGACAGAATGTCTAAAAGGAAGCTAACAGGAGAGGCCTGGTGGCAGGACTAAAGATGGGAGCAAATGGAGGACACTGGAAGATTAACAGAGACCCCTGCTACTCCTAACAAAGTCATTCTGGGGGGAAAAAATCTTAGAAAATATCCTTCATGCCTACAACATAGCATGGATTAAACAGTTTGTGATCTCTATCTGTAAAGGATGACTCAATATTTTCATTTTCCTTACAAGCATTGCATATGGGGGTGGATGCAAATATACACAGGTAGAAATGGAAAGGTATATCCACACACACAAGTATATGCCTGTGTGTGTGCACACGTGTGTGTGTGTGCACAGGCACTGGAGCTTGAGTGCGTGCACTCACTTAAATAAAACAATAGAGGAATAAAGGGGCTATGACATTAAACTGAGTAGAAGCACTGGGCCTCATTCCTACCAAGACCATCCCAAGGTCAAACTAGAGCCTATTATTTTAAATCTCAGGGAAATTAAGCAGGCATAGACGTAAGAAAACACAAGCTGTGGTTAACTTTCCACTTCTTTCTACTAAGAGTGGATGACCAAGCATTTTTGTGACATCTAGTCCTCGCTATCCCTTAGCTCATGAGAAAATAAGGTATAAAACTAAACTAGCCAAGGTATGAAGCCATCCCTTCCCAACTTAATGAGCAACTAACTAATCCAAAAGGAAAACAGCCATTACTTACACAGCCATAATGTAGATGCAACATGGCATATAAATCAGTAACTCTTGTATTGCAAAACAGACAAATAGATTAATGCATGTTGCAAAGGATGGGTGAAGAGATCGATTAGGTTACTGATTCAGACCATGAACTTTCTCTCAATATACTGCATTTAACTTTTAAATAAGGTTTAGGAGAACCTGTAACATTTTGCTCACTGACAGAGCTATATTTTACTAAGGGCAGAAATTGGTTAGTCTATAAAAATTAAATTATGCCCCTTTCACTGTATCTAGTCAAGAGGAAAAACTCTAATTACAAGATTGCACTGTCAAACAAATGCAAATTCACATTCTTTATTCCCTGGTTTAAAAATTCATACTGGAGGGGGCTTCTATTCTGAAATGAAAATCAATATTTCAAATATTTTGCAGAATGCAATGACAAGCAAGAGCAAAAGAAGTGTCATTGTCAAGGGTGCTAGTAAATAGACACCAACTCATTAAGTGCAGAGCTGGTGAGAACAAGTCATTCGTTATGCAAACATTTAAATATCAATTAGTAAGGACAATGAAAGAAGCTGAAGCAAACCTTCCCTTCCCCACAGCCATTGCCTTATTATTCCAAAAATGACCAAAGGGAAAAAGAGTGGTGGATAATAATCTCAGCACCTAATAGGAATGTCACTCTGGGGAATAGGTAAAGGTTAATTTTAAATGTACTTCCCAATTGAAAATTAAATGTATATGCCTCGAAATTCGTAAGAGCTGAGTTTGCAGACTTAGTCTAGAAAACTGAAGGCTGACGCATATTGCACGGCTGGTATTTTTTTTGGAAGGAGAACACCTTTCATTACTGCTTAATGTCAGACTGGCTTACTTAGTTCATTAAATTTTCTTAGTCGATTTAAAGCCCTGGTTTTTCTATACCCATAAAAAATGCCAGTCCGCATAGCACTCAAACTTAAAAATCTCATGAGTTATTTCTCAGATTCTTTTGACATCCACTTCATGGCCTGTCTACCTGGACTGTTAGGTGAACTTGGTGGACATGAAAAATGGTCTAAACCCTTTGAACTTGGCCTGGGCTATCTTTTCAGGCAGACCTGGCCGGATATTTGACGACATGCTGGCTGTGTGGTATTAACTGCAAAGGTGCTGCCCGGGGAAGCCGGCTTCAAGTGCCTCTTAGTAACAGTTGGCTGGTGAACTTGGACCAAGCATCTAATTTTTCTGGACCTTGTTTTCTTCCACTAAAACACAAAAAGGTTTGTCCAGATCAGTCCTCAACTCGGGTCATCCCAGAATCACTGGGAAGTTTGTAAAAGACCCATGGCCAGATATACTACAGATTTACGAAATGGGTTTCTTTAAGCGGGAATCCAGGCATGTGGAGCTAAGCAAAACTCCCAGCAAGATTCTAACATGTATCTTTAGGAGTTACTGGGTTCTTTCAGCTCTAGTGTGCTAAGATTCTCAGTACAACATATATTATTGATCAAACTTAAAAGAAATTCTGACTTCAATTCTTAATAGCATCATTTAACAGGCATTACTTTCTCTGGAGTGGAGCTGTTGACCATGTAATAGAATTACATGCTGACTGGCTGTGGCATGAGCAAACAAGATCTTGAAAGAGGACCACCAGATTTTGTGAGATACTACATGTACAACACCCAGAAAAGAGCCAGATGCCTGGGCACACAACAAGAGTTAGCTCTTGTTACTGTGATGATTACACTGCAATTGTGATCACTTGATCAAAGTTTTAGGTTTGCTTTCTATCCTTGTTGGCAAAAAATTAATTTGGTCTCTAGTAAGTGCATGGACATAAAAATGGAAGTGCCTTGGAGGTATGAACTCTCCTGGACATGGCTCTTTTGATGCAGAAACAAATTCATTTAGCTTGCTTCTATGGCGTTTAGGCTTAGAATACCTTGCTTCCACGTGCACAGACCCAGACCTCACATCCTTCCCTTCATAACTTTTGAGTTCATCAGCTGCTTCTGTTTGTCAAAATTCACAACTGAAACTGCCTTATACTTGATTCTGTCTCTACCTGTTGGCCTATGGCCTGTGGCCAGAGCGACCTGGCTTGGAGACATGGTGCCCACCTTGCCTGAGCTTACAGAACACGAACGACCTTAGGCAAGCACTTGAAGACTGTCTGTGCTGAAGCTCCTGTGGGTAAAATGGAAGTTAAAATGCCTGCTCTGCTTCTTCTCCAGAGTGGTTTCGAGGACAGAATGAAGCAAGATGAAAAACAGCGCTTTGAAAATGAAGTGTGCGGTACTCATCTTAGACACACTTTTAGAGAAAAAGAAATGTGTCTCAGAAAAAGGACCTCTTCTGACTCGAATTTAGCTTACATCCCTTTCCCAACCATATCCCAGGTGATAAAACATGACACCCAGGTAAGCAGTGACCTTGCGGACTCTGAAGAAGTTCTCAACGGGTCTACTGTACATTCTCATTTTGTCTGGCTCTAAACTACTGGCTCAAGAAAGCTGCAAATATTTGAACATAACAATAAAGGGTTAGCAGTGATTCTGGTTAAAATCCACAGCAGTCCTTCTGGTAGAAGGGCAGTAAATTTTTTGCTCAGGTAAAATGTAGGAAGGAAACACAAGCAGGAAAAAAAAATTGTTCAAATTATCCCTATCAATCTTAACTAAAGAATGGTCACTAAGTTTGTTTTGTTTCGTATTATTAATAGCCCAAATCCCATGTGCCAAAATAATGCTTGCTGCATTTCTCCGGACAAGTTACCCTTGAGAGCAAATATGTTCAAGGCTTCCCAAAAGAGCGATTTTGGTGCAACAAATAATGACCTATAAAAAACAGCTCTTAACAACTGCACACACACCACATCACAGCACAGTGACAAGCTAACATCTGCTTTCCAAATAGCCATGAGGATAGCAATACGACATTTCCAGGCCCTTCTCTGAGAAGAAACGACTTTCCCAAGGTGCTGGCTTTAAAACTAGAGTCCTTTCGTTGACCTGCCAGTGGGTAAAGGGAATCATGTAACAGTTCTAATCACTTCACCAGGCTCTGCGGGCAGTTCACAGAACTAAAGAGAAGTGGGGGCTTTGGTTCATTCAGTATCAGCCATCAAGTTATGCTATTTCCCATCTTCTGAATATCCTTAAAATGGCAAGGTCTGTGTTTATGGTTTTGACCTTGGAACTGAAGCAACAGCTCTACCTATTCTCCCAAAGTTCCAGTTATACTTTGGGGAACTTTGACTTCTGATCAGACATCTGGAGTAGGGAGTAGGGGGAGGGTTGGAAAATTCTACCTCAGTGAGAAGACTCTTGGTCAGCTAGAGGGGGTGAGGGCTATCCCACGAGACGCCTCCTTTCCTCAGAGAATGCTCAGGCCCTCTTCTCAGCCAGCCAGCAGCTAAGCTGGTAGGGCTGAGAACGACATTCCTTTGAAAGATCTTGGCAATTTGTGCCTGGAAGTTGATGCATTAGTTCTAAAATTAAATAAAGATCCTGTAGTGTTCTTCAAGGAAATATGGTGTGCCTCTATGACAAAACACATTTTTCAAGCTCTGACCTCTGGGAACTTCAACTAGCTCCATATTTCAGGCTGACAATGCTCACAGGCTACTGTCTAGTTGCCCAAGCCAAGGCTGGTTAGCCATATATTTTCCACATCCATCAGCTTTTAGCATAGGGAGGTGAAGGGAGTAAATAAAAAGAGGAGAACCACTAATTTAAATGCATTTCCCCTCCCAAGACCCTTCGGGGAAAGCCCTGGTAATTAACTCTAATGAGATTAAAGTAACTTGGAACTCTTCATTTTCCCAGCGCTGTAAAAGTAAATCTGCGATAACCGGTGTGTGGGTATTAAATCAAAGTCAATCCTTTTTCCTGTTACTTAATGGCCCCCTCACTCCCACCCCACAGCCCAGGCTTAAGAGCGAGGGGGAGCCGCCAGGCTCTTACCGGCACTTTGCTCCATCACTTCTTTCTGACACATGTCTTGAACGTTCACGGTGCAGTTGACGATGAACTCGGGGGAGGAGCAGTCGTTGTTCAGCTGGAATTCTTCACACTGGTAGCACTGGATTTGCAGCGCAAGGCCTGCGAGACAAACGCAGTCGGGTTCAGATCTGGCCCCCACAGAGCCCACCCCGGAAACCTCGACCATGTCACGTCCCAGAGCAGAGCGCAGTGGCTCCTGGCCTCTGGGAGGCTTGGGGCTCTGCACTCCTGGGTCTCCGCGAAGGGCCTGAAGTGGCTGAAGCCGGCAGGGGGCGGCGCGGGTACCTAGGGTCCTGAAGGAGAAAGTGGAATAGTGCCCACGACCCCTGGACCCCGGCTCTAAACACAAAAAGCCCATCCAAAACCACCCCAGGCCTTTTCCCAAGAAGTTGAAGGGAGGGTGGGGGGACGGTACCACCCCAAGAGCGAAGTAGCTCTGGAGACAAGAGTTAGCTCCAGCCTAAGCCAAAGGATTTGCCTAATTGCTAATTGGTTACAAATTACTTAATTACTATTTTGGCACCATTCATGATTACATTCGCAGACGTCGTTTCGGTTTTTATTTATTTAATTTTTAAAATCAGCGTTTCTGTTACCAGGGCTCTGAGGATCCCTGAGCGACCACCTGGGAACAAGGGTGGAGGCGCCAGACGCCAAGTGTTGCTGCGCCGCAAGTCCCCGAGCACGGGTCGGCGGCTCTCCTCCAGAGCCGTCCCCGCGGCGACCCGGGTGGCCACAGAGGGCGGGAGAGGGCGTTTGTGCTCGCCTGCACCCTGGACCCCGACCTCACGGCCCTTTCTTCCAGGCCCTGGCTTTCAGGGCAACGGTTCAGCTAGGGCGGGTGGTCGGGATCCCAGCTCTGCAGAGCTTAGTTCGGGAGCCAGCAGGCGAACTGGTGAGAGGACGCGAGACATTTGTGCCCTGGTCGCTTCGGCCTGGCTGTTTTCGCTGTACGCGCTCCGGTCTAGACCCAACTGCCCGAGCTCCCCCAGCCCCATATCTATCGCACTTGGAGCGCAGCAACTCAGCCTCGGTGCGGCTGCAGGCTGCTCACCTGTCGGCGGCGCCACTCCCACGGGGTGCCGGAGGCGCCAGACAACTTGCGGGGTTCGGGAGATGTCGCCCCCTCTCCCTCACCGAGACCCCAGCACCGCTCGGACTCTCCCTCCTCCCAAGCCCAGCTTCTCCCGACCGTGCAGCCGGAGCAGCGGCAGCCCGGGGTCCCGCAAACCCGCCGCTCCCGCTCTCCTCCTGCAGCGCGGGACTTGGACGCGTTCCCAACCGCGCGCCCCGAGGCACCAATCGCCGCCGCCCAACTCCCGCTGGGCAGCCCCGGCGCAGGGCCGGCCGGGAGGTGGGCGCCCTGGGGGCAAAAGAGCCGGCGGGTAGATGGGTCGTGCGCACCTGGCCCTGGCTGCGGGGCTCTGAATATTCTTACCTGGAAGCAAGAACAATCCGCAAAAAGTTGCCGCGGTGCCTAGGACCCACATCCTCCCGGAGTCCCGCGGCCGGGAGCGGACCGGTGCATCAGAGAAGGCGACCGCAGCGGAGGCTGCCCGGGCCACAGCGGCTGTGGCTGCCGAGGCTGCTGGGGCCCGCGCTGCTGCCGCGGAGCCGACGGTCTGTGCCGAGAGGAGCCGCAGGTGCTGCTCGCGGCTCCTGCATCGCCCGCGCTCGGGCTCCGGGCTGCGGGTCTCGGCTCCTCCCGCTCGTGCTCCCGGGCCGAGCGCCGCGCCTCCGGAGTTGGTGGCTGAGACTGAAGGAACTACTGGCGATCCGGAGCACCCACAAAAGTCTCGCCTTTTCTCCCCACCTCCCACTCCAGGCACCACGTGACGGCTGCCGAGTTGGGGTGGGGGTGGCGGCCGGCGGGCGGGGAAGGCTGGGACCATCTCTCTAGATCCCCACCCCCTTCCTGCCTTCCTCCTCTCCCGCCTCCGCACGTTCCAGGGAAAGGGGCGCCGGGGGGTGCGGGAGGACTGGTGGTTTTCAGAGGTGGGGAGGCTGGAGGTTGGGGAGCGGCGAGGAAGGCGCAGCAGGTGCCGTGGGGACCTGCCGGGTGCGGACTAGCATGGGAGGACGGCGTGGCCAGCTGGCCCTTCGCGCATAGGGACGCACCCTCCCGGCTCCGCGTCTTCTGAGCTTTCCAGGACTGGCCGGTACCCTAACGACTGGGCCCGGCCCACACAACTGAGGGTGTCCCGCTGCGGGCCGCGGGAGCCTGGCGCCCCGGGAGGCTGTCAGGAGGGGCGTGTGTTCCCGTGCGCCTGGCAAAGTTCCACACCCGCAGGCTCCCTACGGCGTCCTGTGCAGCCGCGCCTCCTCTTCCTCCGAGAAAGCCTTCAGTCAAGACCTAGCTCGGCTTGGCCGGTCTGGGTGGGGGGTGTGGTAGGGACACTGCCCTGACTGTCGTGCTTGCCCGGGCCGTGCTCCCGCTTCTCCCGCCTGCGCGCACCGCCGGAGGGTGCATTGACACCGCCCTGGTCGCCTAGCCTAGGAGAACGCCGTCCCGGGGACACCTGCCGCGAGATTCCACCAGAAAGCAAATCAGGGTGGAAAAGAGGGTTGCTCTCCTCCATTCATGGTCTCTAAAATGCCGGCCAGCTCCATCCTACTCTCCCCAAAGCCACCGATTATTAGTATAAACTCCCACGTCCTCTCTTGAAAGGCCATCCCAGCCTCGGACTCGGCCTCGAGCTGCTCCCCACACCCCTCAAATTCCTCCTGTTTCTGCAAAGTCCAAGAGACCCACCTGGCGTACTCACCGGGATGCCCCGGTTCTATTTTCGCCTTCCTTGCCGAGCCTTGCAGCAGGTGGTGCGGGAGACCGATTGTCCGCCGGAGCGCGTTGGTGCCCCCGCCCCCAATCCGCACATTCCCACCCCCTTTCCCCACATCCTTAGGGAGCATCCATTTCAGCGGAAATCGCCTCCTAAGCTTTGCCCCTCTTCACTCTTTTCTCCCGCGGCCACCTCTGGGGGCAGCTCTCTCAGACCGGGACGCTGATCATTAATTTCTGCATCCTGCCAGCAGAGCTGGTCTGGAGGGGGCTTAAATGACTTTCTTTGTAATTCCTTTGCAGAGATCGTTCCATAGCCGCCTCAGGCTCTTTCTCGCCCCTCTTCATTGCTGTTGGGTGAACCCCTCGGGAAGACTGAAATGCTTTGACATGACTCACCTGTCTGCTGACTCTCATCTTAGAATTGGCTAAATTACCATCTGTAGAGCAAAAGGGCTAGTTTATTTATTCCTCCGGGGAATCCATCCTAGGAGCACCTGTGAGTCAGGAGTCAAGTAACTGGGCCAAAAGGTCCTTGAGCAAGTTCTTTTCAGTATTCAGAGGGTGCAATTGTGATATAACTTTTATTCAGAAAGGAAACAAAAGGATTTTTAAAGTCTGAAAGACAAGGATATTTTACATACTTTTCGTTTAAGATAAAATATAACAAATTGCACAAATTAACCAAATAACACTGATCATACAATACTTTTTAAAGAAACAATTATGTGCTAAAGTAGGCATATAGCTCCTAAAAATATTTCTATTGTGCCTAGTTTACAAGCTCCTGTACATAAGCAATTATAAATAGTTCACATCTAGAAAAAATACACATAACCTTTAAAATAGAATTTATCCTTACATATAAACAGTCTTCGTAGAAAAAAGGATATTAAAAAGAATTCTTCGTAGCACCAATACTTTTATTTTTAAAAAGTGAGCATTGCAAATAGAAATTTGCTTTCATTTTTAACAGTGCCCAGATTTTAATAAAAAGAGCAAGAAGATAAAAAATAATATTCAAGATCACAGAGAAGCACTAAGTAGAAGACAATCTAAATAAATGTCTGGAAAAAAAATTGGTATTGGAAATAGGATTTGGTCATTTCTGATACAATGTCACACTCTGTGTCCACACTTCAGGACCCTTTTCATTTCAGCAGAAGCAGAATTACACCTGTTACTATCACCTGAATCTCTGGCAACGAATCTGAAATTGCACTAAAATGAACATTTCTATCAAATGGATACGAAATGGAGATGAAGAGGAACCCTCTGGTTTTTTTTTGTTTTTTTTTTTTTGTTTGTTTTTTTTTTTTTTTTTTTGGCAGGCCCTGTTGTAGGTTTACAGCGTGTACCCACAAAAATTTTGAGGACTAGGACAATGAACTTCACAAAAACTTAAGTTGGGATTTTAAAAAATATATATTATCATCAACTTCTAAGATTTAGCACATTATTTCAAGAGCATGGCACTGATTCCATTTATTGCTGTCTTTTTTTGCTACAAATATAATTTCTCTTCCAAAGTATTTACAACTTCTGTACAAATATTCAAAAAAAGTGCAAAATTAAGGATTCTGTATCATAGGTGTGTTTATGCTTAATCCTCTTGAAATGCAATAAATGGAGTCTATCTTTATTGCCCTGTCAGAGCATAAGCTCTGGTGGATTGCCTGCTGTGAATTTGACAATGAAGGCTCTGGTACTGCAATAGTATATTGTCCTCTCTACAGAGTGGCTCACCCCCCACCCACCCCCATCATTTCTTAAGTGCTCCAGTCCTAGCTCACTAAGGGAAGAAAAGTCCTTTATACATCATTTGAACCTTGACTGGCACAGGAAGAGAAGCTATCATATAAAGAATCACTCAAAGATTCCAAGTTGTCTACCCCAGGCCTATCTGAACTACTCAAAGATGTCTCTTCATTTTTTTCTTTTTCTTCCTTTCGTCCTTCAACCTTGCTCAGAGAATTCTTTTCTTTTTCTAATAAAATCACAGTATTGCTGTTAAACTTATTGAATGACTCCAGGGAAATTTTCAATAATCTATTCTCAGGATCGTCTTTTGTTTCTTCAAGTTGTTTCAATTTCTGCAATAAAAAGAAGAAAATATTAGAAACATATTTCTTTGGAAAATCAAGTTATCCTATCCAATATTCAATTACTGTCTGTATAAAGTACAGTTTAAAGGGATAGAGAAAACCTACAAGTCTTTAACAATCTTCTAGTATAATTAAATGTAATAATAAAGCAAATTTTAGGGATAAATCAGGACTTTAATCATTTTACTGAGATAAATAGGTCCCAATTTGCAAACCAGTTAAATGCCACTTAATTTCATTTTAAATGGATCCATTTGAAAGTTGTTCAGGTAAAGTGCCTTATTTTTCTTCATCAAAGTTTCAAACTCCTCTCTTTCCTTGCTAAGTATTAGTTGCACTTTTTTTTTTTTTTTTTTTTTTTTTTTTTTTTGAGACGGAGTTTCGCTCTCGTTACCCAGGCTGGAGTGCAATGGCACAATCTCGGCTCACCGCAATCTCCGCCTCCTGGGTTCAGGCAATTCTCCTGCCTCAGCCTCCTGAGTAGCTGGGATTACAGGCACGTGCCACCATGCCCAGCTAATTTTTTGCACTTTCAGTAGAGACGGGGTTTCACCATGTTGACCAGGATGGTCTCGATCTCTCGACCTCGTGATCCACCCGCCTCACTTTTTCTAAATAAGAGTAGGGATTGAATTTCAGCCAGAAGTTATAGTAATATATATATATATATTTTTAAAGACATAAAAATCCCTTAACTTGCCATTTTTGAATGCATGTTAAGCTTATTAGAAGCATTGCCATTTTTGTATTTTGTCCCTTTACAGGACTTCAGACATTTGGAAGAGATCTCCAGGTTTTTGGGTATAGATCCCAGAAGGCCCAAGGGCTTAAAAATCAAAGTGACAGGTGTACAGCTGAGTAACCACTCTGCTCGAGAAGGTGTAGTAATACCAATTTATACAGGGATATTACTGTTATTAACACCCAGTAGGACGTTATAAAACACTGCAACCAAAATCAACAATTATCATAGGTAAACCCTGTAAATGTGAATATATTCTGTTGGCTCCTAAGGGCTAAGGAGGGAGGCGCAGATGCCAAAAACAACGAGAAGAACAGAGGTGTAAAAGTGTCTGTAATGTTTCTCATCTTCTTTTCCTCTTTCCAGCAGATACCCCATCCAAACACAAGAAAGCAGCAGGCCCAGGGGCTTAGAGATGGTAATAAATGCTACCATTCATTAAGCATCCACTACGTAAAAGACACTTAACAGATTCGAGCAGCTTTTTCACAAACCTGCAAAGTAAACGTCCCCATTTTAAAGAGAAGCAATACAAGGCTCAGAGTGACAGAGATATTTGCCCAAGGTTGCCCAGCAAGTGGCAGAGATCAGGATTTGAATTTCTGTCTGGCTGCCTACATGTTCTTATTCTTTCCATTAAACCATGTTCTTATGTAATAAAGGACAAAATGTCCTGTTTTTCATTTTGTTACCCAAAAATTCCATTTAAACAACTTGCCAAACCTTCTCTAACATGTGCAGTTCCACTGTGCACCAAGCTCCTACCCCCAACATTGTCAGGCTGGACTTACAGGGTTGCAGTGAGGATACTGTTTTTATTGGGGAAAATAGATAGAGCCAAAGCCTATGGATTCTCACATGCTAAATATTTAACAGAGAAGAGAGAGATGGAAGTGGCTTCTGTGTCCCAAGAGCAGACCTGGGCAGAATTTCTCTGCTATAGGAAATGGTATAATTCCATGGGAATATTTAAAAATCATCCTAGATCTAGTGCTTATTTCATTATACTATTAACGTGCAGAAGTATTACTCACGGAGCTAATTTTCAATCTCAAACAGCTACCCTGAAACCAGAGGCGGGCTAAGGAATAGACTCCTAGCTGATTACAGAAAAGTGGCTCCATAATTAGAAATAACTCCATCCAAGAGCCCCTTTTAATACTGTGCCAATTTGCCTACATTTACCAAATGTAGGTAATTAAAGGGCATTCAATGCAATTTACTCTCTCTTTCTTTAAGAACCACAAGTATTTTTCTCGACTATTTCTCATCTATGTGGATCTCAAGTTTATTCAACACACACTCACTAAGAACTACTACAAGGTAGACTGACGGTTTTGGTACTGAGGACACACAGCTGAATAAAATTGTGCCCTCCAGGGGATCATTGAGGCCCTGGAGGCAGACAGGCCGAGCTTCAATTTCAGCTTGGCCGTTTCAT